TTTGCTGTTCTGATTGGGTGTTTTCTGTTACCTTATCTTCCAAACTGCTGATTAAATCCTGTGCTCCATCTAATCTGCTGTTGATTCCTTCTAGTATATTCTTCATTTCTGACTGGTTCTTTTTTTGTGGTTTCTATGTCATTTTTTATCCTTGCTATCTCTTTGTTGAAGTTCTCACTAAGTTCCTTGAGCATCCTTATAACCAGTTTTTTGAACTCTGTATCTAGTAGATTGCTTGCCTCTATTTTGTTTAGTTTTTTTTTTTTCTTTTTCCTGGAGTTTTCTCCTGTTCTTTCATTTTGGACATGTTTCTTTGTCTCCTCATGTTGGCTGCCTCTCTATGTTGTTTCTATGTATTAGGTAGAATTGGCACATCTCCTAGTCTTGGCCTGGTGGACTTATGTAGTCGGTGTCCCATGAAGCCCAGTGGCACAGTCTCCCTGATCATCTGAGCCGAGTGCTCCAGGAGTGTCCCTTGTGTGGGTTGTGTGTGTACTCCTGTTGTAGTTGATCCTTGATTGCTGTTGGCACATCAGTGTGAGGACTTGACTCTCAGGCTTACTGGCTGTAAGGACTGGTCATACCCACAGCATAGGAGCTGCCGTGTGGGGTCTGATCCCAAGGAGTGGGATTCACCCCAGTGGGTTCTGATGCCTGCCAAGACCACCCTTTGGATGTGCCACTTGTGGGGCTAATTGGGTGGTGCTCTGCTGTGGTCTGAAGCCAGCCTCCAGGTGTGCTGTTCTGGGACCTCTTGGGAAGGGTTCTTGTGCAGGCCAAGGTCACCCATTGTCTGTGACCAGCCCGGGCCTACCTAGTAGGAGCTACAAAGCAATCCAAAGTTGGTTGCTGCCTGTGCTAGATTTGGAGATGTGTGGGAGGGGCCACACTAGGAGCCTATGCAGGCTGGCACCAGTACTCGGCCTGGAGAAGATCAGCAAAAGGCCCAGGGTACTTTGAGGCCTGCTGCCACGTGCCTGCTGCCCATAAGGCTTAGCCACTGAAAGAGCCTCCAGCAGTGTGAAAGGTGGGGGATGTGGGGGTTTCAGGAATTCACGGGGTGGGGAGGGCGGGGAGAGGAGTGGTTTTCACCAGATTAATGGAGATTCAGGTTTGGCACAGTGCTAAGCCTGGGGCTATTTGGCAAAAGACTCAGAGCACACTGAGACCACCTGCCACCTGAGAGTTGTCCAAAAAAGACTAGCACAGACTGGGGCTGGGTGTCCACTGTAGAAAGTGCATCCGGCTGTGAGTGAGTTGGGAGGGGTGGGGGTCTCAGGGAATCACCAGGATGGAGCCAGCAGAGCTCACCAGGCCAATGCAGATTAAGATTTGGCTGCATGGAAGGAGGTCGCAATACATGGACAATGGCGGCTGGCCCCTCCTACCAGTCTTGGCATGGCTTCTTCTTTATATTTTTAGTTATAGGGCTTCTGTTCAGCTCATCTTCAGATGGTTGACTGTTCTATAATTTAGTTGTAATTTTAATGTGGTCACAGGAGGCAGCAAGCACAGTGTTTACCTACTCCACCATCTTCACCAGACCATGCAAAAAAGACAACTTCTAATCCTATACAACAAAATAGAATACAGTTAACCCTGAACAACGTGAGAGTTAAGGGTACTGAACCCCTGTGTAGTTGAAAATCTGTGTAAAACTTTTGACTTCCCCAAAACTTAACTACTAATAGCCTACTGTTGACTGGAAGCATTACTCATAACATAAACAGTCAATTAACACATAGTTTGCATGTTATTATGTATTGTATACTCTATTCTTACAATACAGTAAGCTAGAGAAAAGAAAATGTTATTGAGAAAATACATTTATAGTACTGTACGTATTTATTGAAAAAAAATCCATATATAAGTGGACCCATGCAGTTCAAACCTGTGTTGGTTAAGGGTCAACTATACTTTAAAATGGATAGTGTATAGAACATTAAGCTATAGGAAATGTAGCTTAATGTACATTAATGTACATTAATGTACATTAATGTACATGGTACACCTGATTTAGTTTTTTCAAATGAGAACTGAAACCATGGCAAAAAACAGTTCATGCTCTAATGGCTGTATCTATCCCTCCAAAATAAGGTTGCGAATTTGGGAATGTAACCAGATAATTCACGCAGTTTAGCATTTAATAGTTTTTGTTTGATTTATTTATATAATGCTTCTATTTTCTACTCTTTTGTGTATCAATAGACCATAACTTTGGCATATAGTAGGCACTGAGGAAGAAGCAAGCAAGCTGCAACAAAGCTATAATCAAAAGATATAACTGACAGAAATGCTCTTCTGCCCAGGGGAGAGGTTGGTCTTTATCTCCTTCTGTGTCTTCTTCTCCTAAGAGACTCCAGGTCATTTTTCATAGCTCTAACTTTTGTCCTGACACTTTTCCATATGTATCATATGCTACTTGTAATTTAACTTAATTTTTCACGTGAGTGTTCACACGTTGACAACACTTGTAAGCCTTTTGATGGCAGAGTCCATTTCTTACAGTTCACCTTGCTCAGATCAACATATGATATGATATACACAAAAGCTCACTATTATATGTCAAGTTGATTTCACTTACTGCCTCAGCTCATAAACACATGCAAAATTAGTGTTTTTCAAAAGCTAGGTTTTCATTTTGTAGATGGCTCACTCTCCTACCTGTCGTGGGACAATTTCAGCTGCTGGGTTTGCTGTTCGTGGGCGTTGATGAGGAGCTTTCTCAGCAGCTCACACTGCTGACTCAGGTGCAGGTCCCGGATTTCTTGCTCCTCAGCACTGTGGGTGTTGATCATTTCTGACCATTCCTTTGTGTGCTGTGCCACAATCTCTTTGACCTATGTAGGAAAAAGGGGATGGTGCAACCTGGAAATCTTTTATTTCAGGTATGAGCTGCAAGCACAATATTATTCATGAATTTTAGATCCCTCCCACCAATTTACTTAGTAAATCAGTGGACACCTATGACCTGCAAAAAATATGTACTAATCAATGGGAATTGGGAAGTCATAACTTATTAAAATAAGTCAATCACTTTGGCTCTAATATTTAACCATGACCTGTTACTTCACTGACTATCTTGCCAAACTCCAGTTTCTCTGGGCCTTGGTTTCCTTTACCAATTGCATCAAAATTTTCTTCATTAGTTCATACTTTTCCAGCTTCACTTCCATCAGGCCACAGGTCTGAATAGAGAGGTGGGTTCTCTTATTCCTGGATCACGATTTACTGTGTCAACCCTAACAGATACTGGGGTAAAATGTCTTCCATTTCCTGTAGCTCCTTTGCAGTGTGGTTTTGTAGGTCTTTGCAGCTCCTTTCATCAAGAGCTAGAATCTATTTCTCCACCTCCTTGAATCTGGCTGACCTTGTGACTTGCTTTAGCCATGAGACAGTAGCAAATGTGATGCAAGTAGAGGCTTGATAAGTGTTTGTCTTTTACTCTATTTGGAATCATGAGGCTACCCTGGGTCTGAGTCAGTACTAGCCTGTTGGAGGATGAGAGCTCATGTAGGAAAAAGCAACCAGCAGCCAGCTAGCTAGCAGAGATCTGAGTGAGGCCATCAATCCCAGCTGATTGTAGACACTTGAGTGAGCCTAGCTGAAATTAGCAGAAGAACAACCCAGTTGCATACAGCTCAAATTTTGGATCAACTGAATTGTGAGCTAATAAATAGTAGTTGTTTTAAGCCACTACATTTAGCCATGGCTTATTACGCAGCAAAAGCTAACTGATACAGTAGTCATGGTTTCTACTTTCCTATTTATGCAAAGCATCTAAAAATCATGGCACATTGCACAGGCATTAATTCTTAAACATTCTAGTTAAGAAGAAAGAGAAAACGGGGAACAACTCTCAAAGACACATGGCTTACTGCTTGTATAGGCTTCATGGCAGCACAGACAATACATAGCAGCAAGGAAAACTTCAGCTTGACTAGTATTCAGCAAGGTCACTGGGCTGAATGACAGAACTGCATGTAGCCATATGGAGGCGGATGGTTTGACTGTGAGCTATAGTTGGGAGCCTTCTTTAAGAGTTCTTTTTTCTTTTATACCAATTAATGCTAGAAGAATTATTTATATTCTTGACTGGAAGTTAGCATCCACTTCTCTAAATGTCCACAAAGTTAATTAAAGTCTCCCAAACTCCTATTTTCTTGTGTCTTCAGGGGGGAAATACAAGTACTTAGGCTCCTTTCCTAGAATACCAACTCTCAATTTTTTCTTATCACAAACTTCTGCAGCAAAGTCAGGATGGAGTATCAAAGAATTACTCAACCCCTAGTTGGTGGTTTTCTGACATATGTTTAATGTTACTTCTATAGGGAAGCATATTCTAGATTTTACAGTGTTTCCTTTTAGTATATTCATTTATTGTCTCACTTGATGTTTCTGAGGCAGACAACAAACATTGTTGGCATATTTTTACAATATTGTTATCATGTTTCTACAGATGAAGGGAAATGTTCTATGAAATGGCTCTCTCCAAAGCCAGTGAGTCTAGGGCCTGGACCCCTTCACTTCCGATAGTAGCCTCAGGCTAATGTTATTTTATTTATACTAGGTACCGTTTTGAAAAAAATCACAAAGTATATTCTGCAAGTTGCTGCTGTAAAAATAGGCATTTTCTTACCTTAGATTTGTGATCCGATGTCAGTGTCTGAATTTTAATTTCTGTTTCTTTTTTCATTTCAAGACAATTACTTCCCCTGAAAATGGAAAATCGCAAATGTGTGCCAGAAGTTAGATAACCTTCCCATTCCCATGGGCCTTTGAAAACTACAAAGTTTTCTGATGAAGAGACAATTTGTTCATCAGAAATGGGATGCCATGGCTCATTGGACAACATCAGTTTTTCTAGTAATAGATGCATACCTTACAAAGTTCTGTATCATGATTACTCTATTCAACCACTATATAAAGAGATGCTTCAGACCTAACAATTATTTCATTGTCCAGGGTCTGTTGTCAGAGTTTCCATTTTGGTTCTTGCTTTTCTTCACGATATTTTGTATTTATTCAATGAAATATTATTTGCGATAAAAACTGGGAAATAGGTCCTCAGCACTGAAGTGAATTTTTAATTCTTCCATTTTGGTTGTAATGACAGATTTTTGTCTTTGACACATGCCAGTAAGGGAGAAAATAGCATTTCTTGGCATCATGGGGGTAATTTGTGCTTCTTATTCTATTGTGAGTAGAAAATATATACTAGGAAATTGCCCAGCAACCATTACTGCTTATTTCAGTGATTATTTTTTCCTTTTGGAATATCCATATCATTGCTGAAACCAGAATAGATTCTGAGTTTCTGACTTCAACTTATGTGCTCTGATTTTTATGGCCTAACTCAGAATGCTTCATTATATTACTCATTGAGAGTGTCTCTGAGAGCAGCATTATTCTAAAAAATGCTAGGTCTCTCATCAAATCTATTACTTCTCGATGGCTGGCATAAACATGTTTCCCCTCTTGTCTACTATTCAATGAGCTTGCAGCATTACAGAAACATTCCCCTGGCTTAATTCTAGACAAATCTTTCACAGTAAGTGCAATGATAGGTTTTATTCAACAGACTTCTCTGTTGGCCCGAGTAAAAAATTCTTGAAATATTAAAAATCAAGATTGCATTTTTTTCTTGAGGGCATCAACCTTATTTATTATTTATTTTCTGGCTATGCAAAATGATTTCTGTAATTTTGAATTTTCCCAACGTAAGCTTGTCTTTCCTTCCTTCTTCCCTCATTCACCTTGAAGACATTTGAGTGGAAAACACATGAGAGACATAGCTTTTCTGTCATTAACCAAAAGCTGTAGAACTTGAATAAATCTCTGTTCTCT